CTCATGTGGTCTTCCTAGTCTCCTCCCATCACCTAGGAAACTTGTCCCTTTATGAATAAACCTTTCTCTAATTGTTTCCTGTTGGAAATCTAACTGATACAGTGTGGCATCATTCATCATTCTTCCCTATGTCTCAGTGTATCCATTTACATTTAGGGCCTGGACACTTCTCCTTCTGCTCATCTAGTCACATCTAATTATTTATATCGAGGCAGAAAGGAAGAAAATGAGAGATTCCATGATCCCAAACTTTTGATTTAATTGAGGTGTCCTCACAGAAAAAAAAAAAAAAAAAAAAGCACATAAAACAGAAGGAGTATAAGAGATGCACTAAAAGCCATTCCATGAAGAAAAGTAAGGTAAGTACAGAGAAGTGACTATAAGTTTGGGCATCAGAGAGGTAGGTAACTGATGACATTAACAGGGAAGCCTCAGTGGAGCAGTGGGGACAGAAGTCCAGGTGGAGTGGACTGAGAAAGTCAAGATAGTGACTATTGACTAATCTAGGGCTAGGAGGAAGAAGGAAAGTTCTGATAACATGGAGCAATTTGCTGACCACTGAGTGACATTTCCCAGGCTATGTGCTGTTGTTCTCCACCCATTTTCCCTATACCAGACGGTTGCATCCATCCCCCAACTTCTTTGAGTGTCGGTAGCTAATGGCTCACAAGTTCCTCATCACTAGAGTAGTGCCCTTGACTGACAGGAGCCTCCTTGCCAAGGGGTTATATACCACCTCGGGGGTGATCCATAGCTAATGGCTGACAAGGATAGAAAGGCCACCTCCTTGCCTTAAGAGGGGGGACTTCTCTGTGGTGATCTCCACAGATCAGGTCAAGGCTAGAATTTACCTGAGACCACATTCTTCTTTCCTCAGTCCCATCTAACTTTCTTTACTCCCTTACGTGTTTTTTTTTCCTCTGAAGAGTATTCCCACCATATAGCATATACACCAAATTACCTGCCTTAAGTACTGCATACAGGGAACTCATTCTAAGACCTGCTGTCAAGAGACTCTAAGGGTGAAGGATGGAATTCTGGAGTTGGATCACTTGCCAACTCACACGCAATGGGACCCCATCAAGGTGGTAGGTACAGTGTTAACAGTCCCCAGCATGTGTTAATAGTGCAATTGCTAAGATGTCACCTAGGCTGATCTGAGGCAAGGTACAGGTGAAAGGAATATGTAGATTTAAAGAGTATCTTATATTTAAGAGATACTAGAGAAAGAGTAGTACATATAGGAACTACAGAATTGAGTGGCTGTTGCAGAATGCCATTGATGCTTTGAAGAGAGAAAAGGCAAGATCAGAGCACTCAATCACCATTTTAAAGCAGAATGTGAGTCAAAATGTCTCCTTGACAACTTTAAAGAGATCTCATCTCGTGTAACAGAAGGGCAGACAAACTTGAAGATGAGACCAGAGACTTAACTGTAAGAGTGGCAGAATTTTAGAGAAGGTTGAATTTCAGCCTGATGAGTCTCCCATGTCAAAGTCATGGCTCTAAGAGGGAAGGAGTAAGACCCTGCGATCTGGGATGGGAATATATAGATGAATGCATTGGAAGACTTTGAGCTTCCAGATTCCTCTGAAACCTCTGGTCCTACAGAAATGGCCACTTCTCCTTGTTGAAAGATAGAAGCCCTCCCTTGCTTTTAGAAAATGCAGATGCCCCAAATGAGGCAGTTATCTTATAAGAAATTCCGGACTTCCTCAGCAGCTGCCCCATTCTTTTCTTCTTATCACCAGACATATAATGGGAGTCAAACCTCAGTGTGACCCCACTGGGCAATTGTTGAGTCTAATGAGAAGACAGGGATTTTGTCAAGAATTTTCAGGGCCTGGCTAGTGTGTACTGACCAGAGACTTGGATACTATGCCTGAGAGTGTGTCCTGCATGCTGGATCAAAGGGATCAGAATATAAAACTCTCTACAGGAGAATTGATTAATGACACAGGATTTCACATCTTTCAGGGGCCCTGGAAGGTGACTCTAGTAGCTGCTGGAATGGTTCTTGAAAGCTTGGTGAAAATGAAGGCCCACATTAAATGAAATAGACCTATCAGAACTCCATTGCAGACTGTGGAAGAAGGTATGGAACACTGGGTCAACATGAATTTAGGGCCAATTTTAAAAATAGATTAATGTCCCATAAATAACATAATTTAACACAGAAAAGGGCCTCCTCACCCACACTATTTTTTTCCTACTTATTTTTTTTTACTTTAGCTTTGCCACAGAGCTGACAAATCTAACAAAAAATGGTTCATTTCAGTTCATAAGCTCCTCCTGTCAAATACACATTCCATGAGAAGCTTAGGGGGACTGCTCCTTTTTCATAGCCTAATATGGAGTCTGGAGAGTTGGCTTTTTCAGGGTGGGTTTGAAAAGGTGGGCCACACTCATTTACGTGTAAATAGGAGACTGCAATACACTCACTGTCTGCTTTTAGAAATTAAGTCCTAAATATATAAGAAATATCAAAAAGATTTTCATATGGCCTGCTAAGGAAAAGAGAAGGTAGAGGAAAGAGGAAACGGAAACTAGGTAGGAATGTGAATTGTGAGAGATCATTGAGGCAAAAGAAAGCTATATAGACACTAAAAGTCTCGCCTGGCATAACAGCTCATCTAGTGACTTTTAGGAAATTTTATATGGAGACTTTTTACACTATTTTAAATTTGTAGATGGACCTATTTTTGGTTTTGTTTGGTTGGTGCATTGATTTCTTCACTTGAAACTATAGGCATAAACAAGAATATCAGATTTTGGCATTTGCCCTCTACCTAAAGATCAAATGAAATAGAAAATAAGTACAGTAGGAGTTCATAGATAACGAGAGTATTGCTGAGATAGAACAGGAGAAGAAACAATGTCAAAAAATAGAAAGATGATGTGATAAGGGAAAGAAAGTATGCTGATGTAGGCAGTGAAATCCACCAAATCAACCCTGGAGATGACAGAATGAGATGTGGGTGCCTGCTAACCCCTCTAGTGAAAGGTATAATTCAATCACAGAAGAGTCATTGCACCACTAACTCTTGTATGTGAAAGTTTGCCTAGGGCCAGCTCTGTTAGAGTTGAGGGCTCATTTAGACAAAATGGAATCAAACCAAAATCTATCTTCATCATATAATTGAAAAGTCAGCATTTCTTCTCCTAGTTCTTAAAGGTTCCAGGCATTATAAAAAATCTACAGTAAAAGAGCTTCATGTGCATTAGACACTGAGATAAGCAACTTCCCCTTTCAGTTTTTGCTCAAGTGTTATCCTCCCAGTGAGGTACACTCTGAGCACTCTAAACTGCAAGCAACACCTTCCTTTGGCACTTTGGGTGTCCCTTATCCTGCTCTATTTTTTTTTTTCCAAAAGCACTCCTCATCATATTATATTCTATGTAATTTTCTTATTGCAATAATTGCTTAATGTCTGTCTCACTCCCACTAAAATATAAACCCTAGAAGACCAGGGACCTTAACTATTTTGTTGTTAACTGATGGGTCCCAAGTAAATGAATAGTGGCTGACGCATAATGTACCCTCGATATATATTTGCTCAATGAATGAAGAGTAGTTTCTTAATCTCCAAGCCTCAAATCCTTTCAGAATCATGTTGAGCAATGACTCTAAAATGGGTTGATTAGGAAAACCTAAGCCAGAGATGAGATTAGATAACATCAGAAAATACTTCTTACATATAAATAAAAATTAGAAATAAACTTTTTTAACAAATGTTTATTTATATCAAAATACAAAACATTTCTGAAGCAGAGTAATGTTACATGAGGAGCAATTAAATACTAAACTTCTTTTAATCCGTTTAACTTGCAACACTTTCAGGATACCTTCAGGGGCTACACATCTTGTCATGTGATGTGCCTTTCTCTTATTTGTTTGTTTATGTACTTGTTTGTTTGTTTTGATTTTTAACTCACTATGTGAACATGAATTGTTACTGGCAATGAGTTGGTTAGTAGCCGGCAAGCCTGAAAATACCAGCGAGTGGAGCCTGGCATGGCAGCCTGAGCCACGGCGGGCCACAGATTCATATTCTTCCTACTCAAGTTCACGATGTCACTCAGTTTTTAACTGGCAAGAGTCTAAGGCCAAAGGAGTTACTGTCCTTGGTAGCCAGAGCAGGCTTATTGCTTAGGACCACAGAGCAGGCAAGGCTCAGGGGTCATCTCCAGTTGGGTCTTCTTTGTGGATTGGGAAGAGGAGGGGAACTGCCAATCAGAGCCCACCTGGAGGGGTGGCCCAGATCCAGGAACAGGGAGGTCAAGGACCCTGCAGGAAGAATCCCCTTTCCCACGAAAGCAAGTAAGAGCTGAGGGGATGTTCCTCCCCATCTTGGCAGTTTGTGATTTGGTGGTTAGAGGTGCCTGTCTCTTAGAGGGGCCCTTTATAAATCCTCAGAGTTTGTGGACTTAGAGGAGAAAGCACCTGGTGGAGAGTATAGCTGTTTCCATATACTTCCATTTCCTGACAGCGAGGAAAGGGAAGGAGACAGGAAACAGGGGAGTGAAGATGCTCCCATTTTCATTACCACAACCACCCCACTCCCAGAGTCAACCTTGGTCTCCCTTTCAGGGCCCCAGTTAGTGCATTCACTTTGGCATTGTGAACCTGTAAGCGCACCCACACACATATGTACACACACACATCAGCTCTCACACATGCACACACATGCACACATACACACAAATGCCTGGTTTCCCTTCAGAGTCTACTTAGGAAGCAGAATAGTGGCCCACCTTCACCATCATCCTCTGCTCCAAGGGGTCCCCTTGGCCCACAGTTCCCCAAGACCCAGCCCTAGGCTTGGCACCCGCTGGCATTCCCAGGCTTTTGAGAAGAGAGTGAATAGAGCAGGGAGCTCACCAGAGACAGGTTACACAGAGTATAGAATATGTTCATATAAGGCTTTGGTACAGCACCGATTTCATGTTCTTATAGTTTGATTTCTAAGTTGTCTCTTAGAAGAAAAAAAAAAAAAAGCTTACTGAAAAAATAGTGTTTTTATTTACTTTTGAGTTACATACCTGAAGTTCAAAAAGTAAGCTTCTAGTTGCCATTCAAGTTCACACTCAAAGGTGTTCTGTGTGCAGCTGTACAATTTGTTGGTTTGTCTTTAATAGTTAACCAAAATCAGCCAACCAATACCATGAAGTCAGCTGCCCATGATAACTGACTTTGACCAGTCCATACATACAGAAAAGAGAGAGAGAGAACACAAAAACCACCCCTAAGTCTCCCACCCCAAACCCCTATGGAAAAAAATCAAATAAAAGACAAAATACAGCAAATTTTAAGGAACCAGTGGGACGAAGGAGGTTCAGTCCAGCTGGCCTCTTCAAGAACAGCACCATAAAGCACCCTAGCGCAGTTATGTTGTAATACTTGACATTCAAGAAATGGAAACGAGGTTTGAATAGTCTTCAGAAGACCTGGCATGGATGGAGGGTAACCCCCAAAGAAAGTTGAAGGAGGAAATAAAAGAGTTCGAAATGAGAGCAACAACTCCCATGACGAAACTAATAGTCATATCCAGACTCATTAGAAAGGAAGAACTAATACAAGAAGCTACTGGGCATCTAGAGGTATGGAGTTTTTAAGAGGTCTTGGAGAGGTAGCATCAGAAGCCCCTCCCCACCCACACTGCCTAGTCACCCGCTTCTGTATGTCTACAGACCACTGGGTGAAATGGGGAAAAGCAATTCACACAGAATTGCCTCCAGGTATGTGATGGAAGAATTATATCCAGGATGATAAATTTCTCCTGGTGAAAGAGGAAAAGTTGAAGATAAAAGGAACCAAGAGTCACTGACATGATGCAGGATATGGTCCCTTCAAGTCGGGCTGTGAAAAAACACAAGCACCTGGTGAAAGCACACCCCATCCATGCCCTCAACCTCTGGCCCCACAGATGGTAGTGAAGAAATTAAATCCAAAGAGACATTAAGACTTTCTGAGATTGATGTACTGGTAAATGGAGCTTTTTGAGATTGATGACTTGGTAATGGAGCTTTAAGCTGCTATTCTCTCCTAAACCAACCATTCCCCCTTGTGACACCTCAGTCTAAAGTTCCAGCAACATACTAGATCATTCTACAACACATCCCCTCCCAGTCCCTGGGCACCATAGTTTACTAAACAACAGGAGAGACCCTTCACACTCCAATATCATGGCCAATCCTTTACGAACAGGAAGTTTGCTGTGTAGCATCTCCTCTTCCTCCACCTCCTACTTTTATATTGCCCATGGTGGCTCAACCTGAACATCTAGAGCAAAGAGGAGTGGAAGGGCCTAGCAAAAAGCCAAAGAGCAATGGACAAATCCCTCTTCCCCAAGCTATTGGTCGATGTAAATGGGAAAAGAATAGGGCCTATAATTATCCTTGGGTGAGCAATTCCCAGTGGATCTGTCTACTCCAAACCCTCGTTCCATTTAGCAGACAGAGAAAGCAAAATTAAAACAACTTTATAGAGTCCTCTACCACCTGCCAAAATGGAAAAGCACTCAAACTCAATATCCCTCCACTATATGAGAACAAGAGAGTATGGCACAGGCATATGGAACAGCTCATGTTCCTACTAGAAGTGGCTGTGGACCTCAAAGGCTTAATCAAAGCACTCATCCCACCAACCTATCCACTAACTGAGAGGTTCAAAGGTAGGTAATTTTGCTTATTCCATGTACCATCAGATCTCAATCCATTTGTGCCTTTGTGAAAGACTGGCTCTTCAGAGGAACTGGAGATCTTTGCTGGGCTATCTATCCTTTCTCCTCCAATGTCCATCCTTTCACCATCTTTCTGAGAGCTTGTGGCCAGGATCATGGAAAGGGCAGAGGTAAGCATTACATCCCCTCCAAGCTCCATAATTTCAAGTTATGGGCTATGTTTCTTATCTTCACCTTTTCTCACATAACTGAAGAGCCCAGCTGAAGGGTGAAGACTGGGATGGGATGGGATGGGAATGTGCAGGTCAGTGACTCTTGATCTCATACCTTAATGCTGCTGAGGCTTCTAAGGATTAAGCCCTGGGTTTAATGTGGAAAGAAGCAGAGTTTTAGAACTAACCCTAGACCTAGCAGAGGTACTAACCCTTTGAGGAACCTGTGATGCTGAAATGATTTATTCTGCTGGTTGCATGTACACCAGAGGTAGGACAGGGTATATGGAGAAAGAGAGGAGGATTGCTCTAAGAGCCAACAGCACAGTAATAGGGAGCCCTCTTCATGTGGAGGCTTTGGTGGGTTGGAAGGAGTTGCAATCCAGGAAGGGACATAGAATGTGCTGCTTTTTCTCTTATTTAACCTCCCCGAAAAATCTTACCAGAAACTTCTGGCTGTATCCTCTGGCCTCCTGAGAAGACTGCAGGAAAGATCAGTCACCTCCAAAGACGGACACACAGCCACTTGGATCCAGAATTGGAGTCCCCCAAGTACTGCATGAACAGAGCCTATTTTTCTTTCAGTGTTCTTGAGTCCCTGGGAACTGTGTGCCTCAGTGGACACAGTGACCCATAGTCTACATTGTGGAGGCAGAAGGGTCCGGAGTCAGACTCAAGCTCCACCATACCCTATGTTTCCCATATATCCCAAAAATGTTAGGAGAGCCCTTCCCATGGCTGAGGTATCTGAGTTCCTCTAATGATCAAACTCCATGAGACAAAAGCTCTTGGACAGCATGACATTTTGATTGGGGAGGAGGGGTTAGTATTGCCTTTGTTTTAGTTGAGAAGCAGGATGAGAGCAGAGAGACTGCAGCCTTGAGTCTCTCCTGGCTGCCTGCACCATCTGGCCCTACACAAGCTTCAAACACATCATTTTCATCTCTTGACAAATCAGAGGAGTGAGCTAGCACCCAGGGGACAATTGCTGAGGCTGTAAGGTGCAAGGCCCTTGCCGCATACGTGAGGTCTTGAATTCCCAGAGAGGTATACTTCAGGGTACACAAAATTTCCTACTCAGATACAAGTGAGCTCCTACTCTCCAAAATCTCCAGTTCTGAGTCAAATTCTTCTGATATATTGTTCAGTCTGTTAAGTCCTAAGCCAGGTACCAGAAGGCATTTCTACCTGTCCCAAAGTTCTTCCCATTATGCCCAAAGTTCTTCTCCCGCTCCTCATCCTCCACTCAGTCCCCCAGGACTGAACCATTCCATTTCTAATGCCACCTTATTTTCCAATTAAAATAACAACTGAAAAAAGCATATATGATATATTTATATTAGATATCACATTCACACTGGTTCCAAGAAACTGCAGCAAGAATGAGCAGGGTATTCTTCTTTAAGCCTGAGCCCATGCAGTCAGCCTCACAAAGTTATCTTAAGATGCCTCCTTCTCACTGCCACACCCCCCAGTAGTGCTTGAGTCAAGGTGCTACAAACCGGGTCAGGTATTGTAAACCTCTATGTAATCTTGACTTTCTTCAAATGCTGCTGAGCCAGATTCCTTCAGAGAAACTGAGTACCAACCCACAGCAACATGGGGATAGATTCAACTGTCCATCCTCGGTATATAAAGCACCTTTCAAGCCACAGTGTCACCTCCCAGTGACAAGAAATACTATGGATCCTGGTTTGGGAGACTATCCAATCTGGTAGCTCCCCACGACCTTCAGATCATTTGTCCATTCTGCAAGGAGACTATTTGTTTTGTTGTTTTTAAATTTTTCACATGTGCACATTTCCATCAGAAATACCCAAGCAACTCTGAACAGAGTGTTTCAAAGGAAGAGGCATAGAGGAAGGATGGGGAAAGAGGGGTATCAAGGCATGAGCTAGTATCCCAGACTGCCTGGGAAGGTGGTCCTGCTCCATCATCTCTAAGCACAGGTACAAAAATAAAGCAAACTATGACTTCATATAGATATATAGATATATAGATAAGCTAGCTAGATAGACTTTATATAGGTTTTTTGTCTATATATATATGTGTGTGTGTGCTGAGGGCACCAGCCCCCACTCCTCTGGCCCGGCTTTAGTCTCCTGCCCTCCCATTTCCCACTCCCCAGATATCTCACATGCGTGAAGCCTCCCAGTCACAACTATTGCATCTGATCCTTTTGTCTACCCGCCCCCTTACATAAGTTCCCCTGTCTCCTTAAAATAGAACAAATTATATCTATTTATATAATTTTATATACAATCTCCATAAAAAATACACTAAAGATGGTATATTACTAATTTCACCCTCCTACCAAAACAGAAGTTGCCTAGCAGAGAAAGAGTCAACTAAAAAGAGGCCTGATGCTCCTCAGGCAAATTAGTGTGTCCCTACAAATCTTACACACACACATACCTCACAAACACATACCACGCCACAAACACATACCGTCCAACAAACACCCACATACCACACGACACACACACAACCTACACACCACCAACACACATACACACCACACTTCATATACCACAACACACCACACACACACTGCCACACACACACCACACACACACATCACCACACACTCTCACACACATATTCTTACTTCCTGAGCCCAGGAAAGAAACATGGAATAGATAGCTGACTGGAGGTTAGAGACCAGATTGAGAACCTGATAACTGCAGAGGGACAGGTGAGACAATCCTATTTCTCTCTCCAGCCAGGACATCATCTACTCATGACAGACCTCTGATTATTCGCAGTAGGCAATATAAATATTTGTTGATAGAGTGACTGACAATTTCCCTTCCAAGAATTGCAACATGACCACGAGGAGGTCTATTCCCCTCCTTTGGAAACAAGGTTTCATAGATGCCCTAAGCCAAAAGAAGCAAAAAGGCTCTAATCCCTTATCACCAATATGAGGAAAGTTGGCATGTGCCCCTTCCATCTACACATGTGAAACCCCACACATGGCCCAAAAGCATGCTCGTGGTATTTCTAAGGCTGAAAACGCAAATCCCTCCCTCCCCAGCCCAGTCTTTCTCCCTTCCCAGATTCCCTGCCCCACCCAATCACCTCCCCATTGTAAACCATGCGCAAGTTCAAAATCCCTGGAGCCATGAAGAAGTGGGGTAAAGAAGGAATGGGAACTTAATTGTGGGGTGAAGGAGAAGAGCATTCCCTAGTTCCTAAAATAAATCCAAGAAACCCAGTGCCAGGGAAAGGTGGAGCACATTTCTTCAAGACTCAAAATAATAACAGACTCAGACAGCCATTCATGTCACCATCTAGTAGTGGGGTGGGAAAGACAGAGAGCCACACGACCAGGGACAGGAACTGAATTTGTACCACTCTTAACTCCCCAGTCTAACTCTCCCAGCCAGTGGAATAAAGCTGATAACTATGTCATCAGCCCTCTTCAGAAACCCTAATTACTACTATGGACCCACCACAGAAGAGAAAATCCAAGTGATTTCAACTGCTGGTTGCTGTTCTACCAAAATATTTAGCAAACAAGATACTCTGATTTATACTTCTATAAGGCATGGCCAGCCATTAATGGTATTTGTACTAATGCTTAATTGTTCCTGATCCTAGACAGAAACCTTTGGGGCATGAGGGTATCTTTGGATCAGATTCAATCTATTGGGAATTTTTCTATCACCTTAAAATGAGATCGTGAAAACACTTCTATCTTAGCAACCCAATACACAAAACATCTGGAGGGGATATCGTATTTGCTCATGAAAGATTTATTTGAAAGTATAGACGTGGGAGCCCGGAAATAAAACACTGGACCAGTGTGGCCTCACTACCAGTCAGAAGGAGAGATGGAAATGGACAACTGTAACCAAACACCAAGATGCTAAGAGGCTAAAGTCCAATCTGGGCTTTGATCCTTGGTTTATTGACTTCTTCTAAAGAAGAGATTTTTAATTCTGCCTCCTGATCCGAAAGGAGACAGCGTTGGAGACATCAAAGAGGACAGAGGCATAGCTGGTCTGATCTCAGGGTGAATCTTTTTCCCCTCCTATGTTAACCAGACTAGTGACCTTAACCTATCAAAGGAAGAGAAACTGAGAACAAACATCTAGGTGTAGCTTCATAGTCTGAAGGCAGCCTCTGTGCCTCAAGAAGAAAAGGTAATGAATGCAAAAGCCAAGCCCCAATCCTTCCTCTCCATCACCAGCAACAATGTCTCAGGAACAGTTTTAGATCATGGAAGAGGAGGAAAAGGCCACCTGCCACTTCTGTTTATGAGAACAAGCACGGGAAGCTCACAAGAATGATTCTTCCTTCTTCATTGACACAGAGCTGGTGACAGCCTTGGAATCTCAAGACAACTATCCTAGCTTTGGGCTTGAGGAGTCTCCAGTAACAAATAGATAAAGCTGAAAGACATCACAAAAAATATGTCCATGTTTGGTTTGGGCACTTAGTGTTAATAGGCTAATTCTAGAAGAAGTAAAAAAGTCTAGCTAAGTAGCAAGACCTCTTGAAGATCCAGTCTGGGCCTATGCGCCAAGACCCCAACCCCCATAGTCTTTATGCAATAAAAACATTAGCCTCCCACAACTGCCCCCAAAATGATCTTCACTGCTACCCCTTTCCAGACTGTCCCCACCCAGTATAGTCACTTCTCTTCCTTTTCTTGGGACAACCTCCAACCTGTACACTTCACCCTTAGGTATAACTAAGTTGTCATGTGCCCCAAAGAAAAAGGTAAGTCTTGATGTCCCCTGGCTTTGGTCTCACTGTCTTATACCAGGATCCCCACTTTCAACTCTTGGCTGACCTAACCTTCCAGCCTCATAGAAACCAGGGAAAAAAACTTGACCTCTCTTGCCCCAGCTCCCTAACTCCCCTTCCTGAAATACCCAGCCCATCAATTACCTTATTCATTCTTGATCTGCATGTAAACATGCCTCCTGGGCCCTCTCCCCAAAGCAACAAGTACAGCCCCATGGGGCTCTGAACCTCCAGCCTGCTGAGCCTGCCTCCCTCTATTTTGGAGAAGATAGAAAGGCAGAGCTGGGCTGAGAAGGCCTGGTGAGAATGTGCACTCTTCCCAGAGGGAGCCACCCATGCTCCCACCCATCTCTACCCTTGGACTACTTCCTATTGCTCCCCAGCAATCCCTGCAATGCTCCCCAAAGCTCCTCTACATGCAAGCAAAGCAAGCCCAAGATTAACCACGAGCTTTTCTTTTCTTATGTTTCTCTACATAATAATAAAATGTACTTTATGTACAATTCTTCCCCAACCCACCCCAACACCCCACCCCCCAAAAAGGCTTTTTCTAACAAAACCCGAAGAAACTGCTCCAGCCACACATACTTCAGCCCCAGATTCTAATCCTGAGGCGTGGCAAAGTCGCCCTGGTGCTCTGTGAAGACTGTTTCTTCCCTGAAGCTACTATTGTTTTGTCAATCTTGCCTCCCTCCCAAAAAAAGAAACCTAGTCAGGATATTTCTGAACGCTCTTCAGTGTCCTCTGAATGAAAAGTGTATGGGAGAATAACTGAAATCAGTTTAACCCCAAGTATTTTAGATCCCGAATCAAAAATAAAACAGAATATTAAAACTATTAATAATTTCTCACCCCAATCCACCCCTGACTGAAATTCCCCCAGGAGCATAATCATGGGACACAGGCCCCTCTTCAAAGGGGGCCACAGACCCTGCCAGCCCTGCGGGATGAAGCAGCCTTCCTGTTGAGAAAGTAAAATCTCAAAAGGCCCCTCACACACACACACACACCGCCCCCATCTCTCAAGGAAAGCTGCAAGGGAGATAGGCTGGGAGATATGGTAGCAGAGTTCACCAGCATAGAATAAGCCAGGGCCACAAACGACAATCTACATGCATGATCTCACTCCTGTCATGAAACCCACTTAATTTGTGGTAAGCCAACAAATCAAGACACAGGACTCCCCTTCTCTTTATTGCTCATTTTCTTTCCCCAAATAATTGCAGTCTCAGGTCCTCCTAAGTGTCTTCAACCTTGAGCCCCTTCTAGAAGCATTTGACCCTGGTCTGTGAAATCCTAAGCCTGAAACAGCCATAGTTTCTAGTCAAGATGCAGAATGGAGGGGCAGACGAAAGACTGAGACAAAGGAATAGATTTTTATCCAAGTTACTTCTTACTTCTACTGCAAAGTTATGAGATCATAAAGGGGGAGTTTGGAAGACATTTGATCTCCCATACAGAGGAGTGTGAAAGTTCTAGGAAGCTTAATAGTGCTCATTGCAATTGTTCAAAGGCAGAGTACAAAGGACATTTGGTCCCTAGAAATGTCTACATTCCCATCATACACACACCCACAACCACACCCTCACACACATGCACACACCCAGCACTTAAGTATGTGCCTGTGATATCTTTACCCTCCATCACATGGACAGAAGGGGTTGTATTCTGCCAATTTCCACCAAAGTCCTTGAAGGAAGGACTGAAATAGTTCCCAGGGGTGTAGAAAGGCTGCTGACCTTCAAAGACACTGTCACAAGAAGAAAGCCCTCTTGGGAGGAGAAATGAGACCAAGGCCATTGAGAGAGGTTGGCCTTGTGTCCTTCCCTAGCCTTGGGCATGCCCAGTGCAGCTGCCACCCAGTGGCCAGCAAAAAGCACTGCTCCCACCATTTGGTCTGATGTGCTGAGGTAAGGGGCACCGCCAAAGGAAGCAAAAAGGAAGGAGTCAGCACCTTTGTTGGCACTGGCAATAGTTCACTGGCAGGTCCTCCAGGAAAGCACAGCCACAGTCTGAGGCACCTCACCCAAGAGTTTGGCTCTTGGCCCTTATGACATCCTAAAGAAGCAAAGCCTTCCACCTCATCTTCTCTACTTCTTTTGTAACCTAAACAGCCTAGAATTCCCAGCACAGGGATTAGAAAGTTTAAACTAATTCATCCTGAAGACCTATAACCCACATTCACGTTCCAGCCAGTGTAAGAAATGGCATGCCGTGAAGAGTACAGACAGAAGCTACCGACTGACCCGGTATGAGGCCCCACATGCCCCAGGAGGTATTCAGTGAGTCATTGATTGGGGTACAGTGGCAGAGGTAGTGCTACCTCGGGAAAGAAGACAGTCACCCAACCTCTGCTCTTCCATTTTGCTGGAGCTGCCACCCGGTGGTAAAGTGGATTTGGATGCCCAGAAAAGTGCATTAGCCAGGAGGGTGCAAGCCTAGCCCCAGAGAGATGAGGCAGTCGACAGGACGAGGGCCAGAAACTTCCCCTCTCCACCTCTTTCTCCACGACTCACAACTTTCAGAAAGAAACTGAGGCTGTGACTTGCGTGGCAGAACCCCATGGGAGGAATTGGTCTCCACTCGCTAGTCGACAGAAAGGAAGCACCGGGGTCTGTGTGGCAGAAGACTCATTCCTAAGACGGATGCTCCCAGCAAGGAGTGGCTTCCTGGCTCTCAGAAGCCTCACCTGGCAACTGCAGTGAGACATGCGGATGCCTCCAGTACTTTGACTTGGCCAACATGTAAGCAGATAACTGGGGAGAGGTGGATGTCCCCAAACCCACGAAGACAGCAGCACCAAGGAGGAAATACTTCAAGGAATCCGATAGCCACCTTTATTCTCTGGCAGCTAGAAGGGCAGGCTCCTGCACAAGGGAAGAGAAACCAGGTGCACCCCATCCACCCTCAGGGCCTTCTGCCCTGTGCTTAGGCAGCACCATTATCTTATTGGAAGAGAGAGATACATCTTTAGTTGTTTTAAGATGACCTCACAGAAGCTTCTGGGTGCTCATAGTTTGAACTAGGACAAGATTTTGGCAGAGAAAGGCTCAGAACCTAGGCCCCTATTTACCACCCCCTCTACCTTCATTCCCATGCCTTGGCCAGGTCCATTTAAATATGAACCAGGGGAAGAGAGGGGATCCACAGCACCCCCAGAGCCCATAAATCTGGGGCACCTTAGGTTTGTCCGATCTCATCCCGTTGGAGCCAGGGTCCACAGGGTGTGAAGGAAGGCCCAGAGCAGAGAAGAGTCTGCAGACAGCACGTGGAGAGCATGGAAAAGGAGCTGCCGGCGGGCTCCCTACAAGTGGCAATTAATCAATCTGGGAAATTAGCTCCCACAAAAGGAAAGGAGGAACCGAGTCAGCAGCTTTGGAACAGCACTCCAGAGGGTGCCGAGCCAGAGGCGGGATATAAATAGAGCAGCAGCAGCTTGGTGCTCAGCACAGACGGCTCCAGAATGGGAGGCTCTTTGGCCCCAAGGCTTCTGGCCCTGGCTGGACCAAAAAGGACCGATGGAAGAGCTTGAGTTTGTGCATCAGGGCCTGCCTCTTGGCCCTGCTACTAAGCAGCTTCTACTTCTGAGCCAAACTGTGGAAGGAAGATGCCAGTCTGACCCTTTGCCTGCCACCCTTTCCTCACTCAGGAACCAAGAAATAAAGGCTTATGTTTAGTTCTGTGGTAACTCATTGCTGAACTCACAAAGCAGGCAGCTGGAAATCATGGCAAGCCTCAATTTCTGCTCTAGATGGGAGAAGGTAAAGTGGTGAATTCAGCTGAGAAGGTGTGAATCCTGTTTCCAAAGGAGTAATCCCCGAGACAGACATCAGGGCACCCAGCCAGCTCCCTGCCAGTCCTACTCACAAACCCCACATGTCTGCTGCCCTCTTCCTCCTTCTTTCATTGGCCACAGAAATAAACAGCATTTTGCTGTTTCGATGTACATATATATACACATAGAGAAACCCACGATCTACATACCTATGCATTTGTATCTATATCTATATATATGTAGAGTTTGGAAAGTGAGATGGAAGTTCAGCCCTCTCCCAGGATTTAAAAACTGAAGCAGAAGCAGAGAGCAGCAAAAACCATTGCTTTCCTCTTCTTCACTTCCAAAGATCTTTGAAGAGGTGAGAAAAATCAATCTAGTATAGAGGGGAGTAGAGGGGAGGAGGCAGATCTCTCCCTGTCTCCAGTTCACTTCCTGATCTCCACCCACAGCTGAAAGGTCTGCCTGGCCTGGTATCCCGAAGACAAGGCCAGTTGGCCAGGATTTGGAGGAGACTCCCACTCTGGCCAGAGAGAGAACAGGCTGAACGAAGGTCTGAGCAACCCTCAGAACTACTGGGCAGGCCAGGCCTCCACTGATGGAGAAGACGTGGCCCCAGCACCCATCACCATGCATCCCCTTCCCTTGCCCTCAGCTCAGCATTCTCGCTCTGGGAGCACTTAGAGTTGTGTTGTCACAGCAGAGTGGCATGGCCAGGGTCTTCCTGATCCACGCTGTTGAGAATCGCCGTCTGGTCTTCTGGAAGCTGGCGGTGGCACAAGTCTGAGAGGCGGGCAAAGGGGTCAGGCCGAGAATGTCTCTTCTTCTTTCGGAGGCAGACAGCTTCATCGGGCCACAGAACCTGAGAGTTTGGAAGCTGCTGAGCCTGGGAGGCAGGGCCATCTGGGGAGGAGGAACAGGCGCACAGAAAGACAAAAAGAAAAGCAAGTGGGTAAAAAGGGAGACCGCAGCCTCACACGCTCACTCACCTTCTTCAGCTGCGAGGGCACGTATTCTGGGTTTCTAGTAGTAAACAAAGGGGTCACCTGAGCATACGGGACACCAAAGCAAACTGCAGCAGCAAAACCACCTTCTTCACCATGAAAGCCACCGACACCCCAAGTCTGCTCCCCTAGTTCTCATGAATCAAGAGAGCAGGGTGGAACTAGTCCATGAATGTTTATATTTTATCTTTTATTTAATATTAAATATATTTATTATCTTTTATCTAATATTTCTTTTTTATTAAAAAAACATTAATTTTTTTTTTTTAGTGCCTCCTAGGTAATAGCCATCATTCTTGGTACTGGGGTTGGGACTTAATACACTTTTTTCATCCTCCACCCTGCCCTGCCCCACAAGCAATGGTGAATTTTACACAAGATTTTAATTGCATGCAATAGAGTCAGGCCTGGCCCTTCCTACTCCACGGCTTCTCCACTGCCTCACAGCCTTTCTGGAGATAAAGAGAGAAAGATATTCCTTTCTAGAATATTATATTTTAATGCAAGGGTGAGGAAAAAGAGACAAAATGTAAAGACTTAAAAACTACAGAAATAAAATTTTCAGATACTGCAAGTGCTACAAAAAATATATAAAATAGGGTCATGAGATAGCAAAAGACTGAGGCACTGCTACTAACGGAGTAACACTTGAGTTGAGTCTTGAAATATGAGCCTTCCAAAGATGAGAGGGAAAAGTGTTCCCAGCAGAAGGAGTGGTAAGTGTGAAAAACCTGAGTTAAGAGCAAATGTGACATGTTCTGGAGACAGAAGAAACACCACTGTGGCTAAAACAGAGTGAGCAGAGGAAGTGAAGCAGGAAAGACAATGGTATCACAAGAAGTTTGAAATCTGCTCAGTTTTAGTGAGAAGCTTCTGGAAGATTTTAATCAGAGTGAGTGTGTGTGTTTGTGTCTGTGCGCGCACATGCTCACATGCCCATGACCAGAGGAGAGAGTATGTTATTACATTTTCTAAAGGTCACTCTGGTTTCTGTGTGTATAATATACTATAGAAGGGGCCAGGATAGAGGCAGGAGGACCAGTTAGGAGGCAATTGCAATAGTCAAGGCAGTAGATGAGCATGAGTTAGAATTTAGTTTTAGCAGCTGAGACAGAAAAAAAGTGGTCACATTCAGGGTACATTTTAAAAGGTGAGCCAGCAAACCTTGTAAAATGGGTTGGATATAAGATGTGAGAGCGGAAAAGAATGGAGAAGTAAATTTGGAGATGATAGTCAATAACTATTTTGAACATTATAAAGGCTTATGAAAAAAATGCATGTTCGGGAGGTACCTGGAAATATGAGACGAGTTCATGGAAAGAATTTGGGCTAAAGACATATTTAAGCAATGTTAACATACAAGAGAACAGGACTACTGTAAACAGAACAAGAGAATATAGGCATTCAATGTGACTTTTTCCCAAAAAAAATTTTTAAAAAAAGATAGATGATAGATTAGATAGATAGATAGATAGATAGATAGATAGATAGATAGATAGATGATAGATAATAGATAGATAGATAGATAGATAGATAGATAGATAGATAGATAGATAGATAGATAGATAATAGATAGATAGTCTTAAACTAAAATGAGCTTATATGAGTTGAAAATTCAGTTTTGGGCTTCAACTTCCCACTCAAACCATAAAAAATTCATTTTCTTTTTCCCTGCCTCAGTATTCCCACCTAAAAAATATAATAGGATAATAGCACCACTCAAAGGCTAAGTGAGAAATAAGTGCTCATGGACTCCCCAAGATTCAAACGGCCTCTGTATAACACTTTTTCATAACCCCATCTCTAAAGAAAGTTACTCTACAGTAGTTATTAAAGATCTGCAAGAAACTGTTCAGCAGTCTTCTCTGATGGCCTGTCACATTCATAACACCATTGGTAAAAAGAGAGTATGTGAGAAATACTAAGGAATTTTCTACATCTGCAAAAGTGCTGAATTATCTTTGCACTGTTTTATAGGCTACATATTACTGCTGGATAAACAACAGACTTATTTCAATAGAGGTATCTTTCTACAAGATGAGAAGATTTCACTCTATCTCATTGAGAAAAATCTGGTCAATCTGCACAAGGTGGATCCATGCCATGATGTCCTCTAAGCACTAGGGAGGACTCCATAATTCTCAAGTCCAACTAAAGGCTTGAAGTGATAGAGAAGAAATCTAAAAGGAGATAAGGATATTTCCACGGGGTGTTACACAATAGGGAAACTAAGATACTATTTATGTTGTTAAAAAAAAATACATTAAAACAATACAATATCTTTTCTAAAGGTAAATTTACACAGAAAGGTTCTGAAAACACACACATACCAGAGAGGAATGGTTCCCAGATGGAAGGAAACAGAATTGGGAGGACAATCAAGAGATTTTAACTTTATCTTTCTCATCTTTACATGAAAACAATATTTGTGTATTACTTGAAAATTAGTATTAAAGAGAAACGAACGAAATAACACCTGGTAGATTCAATTCTAGAGAAAACCCAAGAGTGGGATCCTGTGCCAAACAATCCCACATTAACAGCAGGCAAGGTATAAAGGTGCTTCCCACCATTTACCGGATCGTTTCTTTGACTTCGAAGAGCCCTTGGATGACTTTTTGGGCTTTTTTATCCGTTGGTATTTCAGAGCCTCCAGCCTCTCAGGTGCAGCAGCGTCCCCAGATGCAGGTGGATGGGTTCTGAAAAGGGGTAATTAGAGAGGCACAGATAAGCTCCCAGAACAGGGAGCTTCTGAAGCAGGGCTGGAAGAAAGCCAAACAGCCGGCCCATAGGAGGACAGAGTAAGGTTTTATGGAGTCCCTCACTGGCCGTCTTTCCATCGCTCCTGGAAGGAGGAAAACCCAGTAGAAATCTCCAGCAGTGGGAGGCCTACCTCAGATGGAAACGATTCTGTAGAGCAATCAGAAGACCTAGGAAAGGGAGAGAGAAACTTTAATAGTAAGCCCCATCACATAGAACTCAAGCTGGGAAGAATAAGAAAGGTCAGAGAAAGAAGCAGCTTCAATGTCTGAAGTCCTTAGAAATTGTCACAATCAAGACCTTTAAATGAAAAGTAAAAGGGCAGATTTAAGCAGGAGGTGAGCAACCCCAACCCCAACTAACCGTCCTCCTCCAGAAAACAGAAGGCCAAGGCAAAATGAGAAACCTGGCTTCACTGGTCTCCTTCTGCTCCATCTACAAGATTCAGGCAGAATCCAGCAGCTAACAGCAACAAATACTTGTCATCTACCAACATTCGGCAGAACTGTCACCCTGACCCTCTGCAGATCTGCTCAGACTTCTTCAGTCATGTAAGGGAATAGAACAGGGTGGAAGTAGATTACAGCGGTTAGAGTGTCCAAATATGGCAACCTTGCAAAGCACAGGATATCTGTAGCAAGTATCCAGTGAATCTCTAATTTTTAAGATTCAACAGAGAAACCAAGGTTGCTGGGAGAGAAGACCATGTGTATAGGTTTCTCTTTCTTTCCCAGTTGAGTGGACGTTGCCATTTGCCTGATGGATGAAATGCATGGTTAGGGCAAAGTCAACAATTTAAGCAAAGGCCATGCTGAAGCCCAGGTGACAAAGGGAACCAAGAAGAGCTAAGAAGATGGACTGTCTGTGACAATTTGTGCATATTGGAGAGAATTTTTTAACAGTCATAAAAGAAGAAAACCTAGAAGGTATGTTATCAATGGAATTTCGTCTTAAAATAAGCCAAACTTGGAGCCTGAGGAATAAAGGGAAAAAGAGGGAGAGAGGTCACTCTTTCTTTCTCACCAGTGTTGGCATTAGCACGCAATCAGAGAAGCAGAGACATTCTAGGGCCACAGTAGACTAAAGTGAATCACATTCTGCCTCAATCTCCACATCTCCCTCTTCCATCTCCATTGCAATTGGTTTTGGCTGAATCCTGATTAAGGAGTAGGACGGATAATCCTGTGAGGGGAAAAGAAGTCCCCAATGCTGAGTAAGCAGTCCAAGGCACATTTTTTAAATGATAGAGGGATAGGATACAGCCGCATTGCTCCAACAACAGATATCTTTGTGGGAATGAAGGAAACAAAGCCTCTGGCTTCTGGGGTTTCTTGCATAAATTGGCAATAAAGCAATCTTCATCTTCTTTGATGAAAGTCATCATTCCATAGCCCTTTAGTAAATAAAATATCAAGAAGTTCCGCCAAAATTCTGGTCAGAGACAACTTTTTGGTTTTCCATAGCCCCTTGATAGCATGGAGCTAAGAAGCCCCACCTACGAGTGCGCACAGGCACACACATAGTCTCGTAGAGTAGTCCAACTCACCATTAGAAGTCAGGTCTTCCACCCCCAAAGACCCAATCTGCAATTGCCCATTCCTTCCTCTTTCACAAACTCCATAGTCTACCCACAGAGATTCTACACAGCAGCAGCAGCAGCAGCAGCAGCGCAGCAGCAGCTGGAAGGGAATTTGGAAGGCAGGCAAAGAATGGAGATGGGTAGGGCATGAGGGGGCATGGCTTTCCAGTGCTGGTAGAATGTCCTCACCCCCGTCTCTTCCTTGACTAAGGCTTCTTCATACTGCCTAAAAGGAAAATCAAAGATATGAATCCACTGTTCAGTTTATCTGTCTCCTGGTCCCAGCCAGCCACTTCAGAAGGACCACACAAAATGAGTGATGTATGGTCTGAGGAGGTATATGGCAAGCAGTGGACCTAGGGAACAGTGCTTTAAAAACATAATCCAGAGTGTTCCACTAGGGCATGAGAGAAGCTGGTACAGGGTGACCCCTGAAAATTCCTGTGGCACCTCCAAGCCAAGAGAAACTTTCAGGGATGTTTTTATTATTACGATCAATAGATTGTCACCATTATCATTTTTATCATACAACCTTTATTTACCATTTACCATGCAAGGCACTGATCTATCTTCTCTACAATAATTTTCTTTAATCCTTACAACAACCTGAAGAGGTAAATACTACATTGACCCTATTTTCTGGATAGAGAAACTGAAGTTAGGCCAGGTAGTGTATCCAATAATCCAGTTATTATATGATAGAGCCAAGGCTTTCAACACTAGGCTAAACTGCTCCTCCAACTTCTTCCTGATAAAGCAGGGACAGAAGCTACATCAAAAAAAAAAAAACACTGCTTCCACACATCATCTGAGAAGTCAGTCTGCCCCAGAATGCACTAGCTGCAACAGTTACTGACATTCTCAGCTGTGGTGGCAGAGCCAGGGTAAAATAGACCAGGATAGGGAAAGGCTGGCTGTGTCAGGTAAAATTTCCCAAACAGCAATGATCCATTGAAGATGGTAAGCCAATTTTTACTCATGAAACAGCCAAGCTCTAGCCCTTCCAGGACACCTGCTATTCACCTGTTTTCACTTTTGGCTCAACACTCAAACACAGAAACATGACAGAAGGTGGCTCCTGAAGGTATCAAGACACTCTCCCAGTGCTGGAGAAAAAAAAACAAAACAGTGTCTGGAAGGCAGGAGGAAGAGAGGGGGCAAAATAGGTCTTTATTTTAAGCGAATTATTCAGAAAAGACACATGAAATATGGTCCAACAGACATCACCTGCAGCATGTAAAGCCCTTTGGAATCAAATTGCCTCCTTTTTTTTAGGAGGGGTGACCATGTGCCCTGTCAGTGTCAAGCCCACCTGGGGGACTTTCAGGTAATAAAGCTTTTGCTGCTGATGTCTCTCAGAAAGTAGGAAGCTTGGGTTAAGTGACTCTATCTATCCCTGGAATGAAGCTGGCAAGTAAACCTGAGGCTGACCTGTAGGTTGCCTTATCAGAACAAATTCCAGCCCTGGGCTCTCCAGAAGTTGAGGTCTCAGTTCTTTTTCTCATCAGCCTCAATTCTTCTCAAACATACAGGAATTCTGCAAACTCTGGGGGTGCTCCTTCTCCCAGGAAGTAAGAGCATTACTGAAAGGTGAAAGCCTCAAAGCCTAGAGATTTCTCTGGATATTCCAAATTGTCTTCCCAAAAACTGCAGTTTTCTGTCGCAGTGGTGTTTCTCTGCAGTTCAGAACTACCCTAAATGGCCTAGAACTTACTTTAACACTTTTTTCTCCCCATCTCTCTCTTCATAAAATCCATACAAAACCCAAATCATGACCATTTAGCTAAGCTTTCCTTAGCTGCTTAGCTGTATGCTGACCCAGAGTAGTGAAGGGAAGACGCAGCCTGGTTCAAAATGTAGGCAGACCACAGGACAGGAAAATCAAAATCCAAAATTCATTAAGGACATTTCCTGCCCTTAATACCCAAAGAGCTGACCATTATGACACAGTTTGCAACTATCCTCCAGTCAACAGGCAGAAGCAATGATGTAAAGAGCATTTCCTCCTCTTCTTAATTGTCTGGAAGCAGACTCTGCTTCTCTGACTATATAATGTGGATGAGAAGCCGAGGAAATTCACACATGTATAAGGGATAGCCAGAAAAAAAGGCAAATCCATTCTTCATAGACAAAACAGAAAGCCAGGAGTCTGGAGGTCAGCTGCTATTCAGCTTTGACCACAGATAGTACCTTTCTAGTGGGATCAGGGCACAAACGAAGTGCTTGGCCTTAGAAGTCAGGAGAAGCTTGTTCCAAAGGGGAGCTCCTTCCTATGGTTACCTCGGGGCCCCATCCACACTCCCAGACCCACCCGCATCATGGAGGCTGAAGTCAGTATTAATGGGAAAGGGGATTAGAGGGAGATACAAGAATAGGGCTGCTACCAGTATCAGACAGATTGCTGAGAAAACCATTTGGCCTCCCAGCCATTCACAAAAGTACAGGTCCATGCAATACAACTCCCTGTTTTGAGATGGGAGTTGGGAAGAGGAGAAAAAGGGGGGAGAGAGAGAGGAGGAGAGGCAGGGAAACAATTACAGGTGTGGAGAGAAGAAACAGGAGAGAAACTGAAAGAAATAGGAACAGAGCAAGAACGAACGTAGACAAGACGTGTCACATCTTCTCCAAGCAAGACTGAGTGGAGACACATGCAAAGGCGCAGCATGAAGACAGCGTCTGAAGAGGATTCTGCCACCTCCCAATGGCCCCAGCAGCTATCGTGCCCAGGGAGGCCCTCAGCAAGCAGAAGGGCAAGCGGTGGCTCCTGCTGCCCAGCATTGTCAAGGTCTGACTCTGAGGCTGTGGGAGGATCCTGTTCTCCTAGGTTGGGGATGCTGGCCAGGCCCAGAGAAGTAATGCCCTCTCATCGTGGCCCCTGGTTTCTGGGTTTGCCACAGCAGTGAGAGTATGATAGCTCGGCTCCCTCAGATCTGATGCAGTGGGGACAATGGGGAGGGGGGGTCAACGGTTGAGTGAAGGAGAGTGGCAAGAGCAAATGACAATGGGGTCCAGGTACTTTTGCGGAGTGGAGTGAGAAAGCTGGTCTTGAAGCTGTCATACTTCTGGGGGTGACAGAGGGGTCATAACTTGGGGCAGGAAGGGAGAGCAGGGAAGACAGAAGACAGTCCAGTCACTGTCACGCTGGAGCATCCACCTGGCAGGCCACAGGAGGCCCCTAGCACACGTGAGCTCACAAAGACTTCGTGACACCTCCACACTCTCCCAGTGCTAACAGCTGAAGTGGGGCCCCCAGCTGGCCCCACACCATCCCAGGGCCTCTTGACTGCTAACACTTTTATAGCTGCGGATCATAAAGAATTGGCATGGCATCCTCATTGTGGGACACCTTTATGACTACGGGAGATTTCTAGTCCTGAATTAGAATGATAAGCCTCCCTGGACATCTCCAGGTGGTAAAGGGAGGCAGCTGCTTCTCACTTAGGGAAATCAGAGGTACCAGAAGGAGGTTCTCCCTCTTCCATCTGAGGGCCGTGGGGTCTACACATTCCCAGAAGCATGGCAGTGGCGTCCATGGCAAAAAGAGGCTCTTAGTTACCAAGAAAGCAAGTGAGCCTAAAAGCTTCTTTAAGACACTTCATACCCCTCTACATGCCCAGCTCCGGAAACCCCCACTTGGAGGAAGATGGGAGAGGGGTCATCACGGTGGAGAGCAGAGGAAGGAGTGCAGTGTTGCAGCTCCGGGCATGTTTGCCTCTTGCCAACTCAACTTCCTTCTGCCTGGGAACCCTGTCCTCTCCTCTGCAGAGCTCCTCACAAGACCCTCTCCCTACAGCTGGCACCCATGGGGGTCAAGAGAGGCTACTATGGGGACCCCAAGAGCAATTTGAACCTGAGGGCAAGGTCCACATCTCAGTCTCATAACAGCCAAGAACGGGCTGCAGAATAAAAGAAGCATGGGAAGCAGTGACATCCTCCTGCCCTTGCCCTCAAAGGACCAAAGGTGACCTGGTCCTATGGAAGATCCAGTGGTTGAGGGAAATTGCCGGGCAACACCCCAATCCTGTGCTCCTGGAGAGGACTCACTATTAGTAAGATCCCAAGAAGACAGTGAGGGGCCAGTCATCCTGGGGAAGGTCTGTGTTGTTGGTGGTGGTAGTGGTGGTTTTTTATTTTTTATTTTTTATTTTTTGGTGGTTGTGGGGGGCGGTTAGGGGGAAGGGGGGCTATGCCTGAGGCTGCTGGGAAAACAGGGCAGAGAGGGGTGTTCCTGGGTACCAGTGTGGCCCCAGACAAGTTTCCAAGGGTGCACAGATGCAAAGCAGATCTTAGGCATTCTGGGTCCTTCAAAGTGCATGCAGGGTCCCAGGGGGCTTCTATGGAAGCTCTGGGTGTGTTGGAAGCAGGATGACGAGGTGTCTGAGTGAGGAAAACTGCAGGGAGGCTGTGGGAGAGGACTTGACATGGGGAGTGGAGTGAAAAGCTGCAGCTAGGCAATGCCCGAGCGTGGCCTGGTAGGGCTGTTGGAGTAGCATGATGTGGGGAACCCAGAAGCTGTGGGGATAGAGGAGCAGAGGCTGCTGCCCCCACAGAGGGGGTGAGGGGCTATGGTCTGGATTCCCCTGTAAAGGAAGCGATGGCCCTGCCGAAGCCCCATCCGCCTGTCCACCCCCCGCCCTGCCCCAGCCGCAGAGCTCCCTTACCTATTGAGCTGAGGAGAGGCTTGTCTCGACAACACTGCCCAGATAGCTGAGATCAATCAGAAACAAAGCAGTTATCAACACAGGCCGTGGGGGAACCACCCACGCACACCCAGAGGGGAGGGGGGAGGAGCACAGGGACCAGAGAACCAACAGGCGAGGCTAGAGAATGGGGCGAGGGGAAGGAGAGGAGAGAGACAGAGAACCAGACGGCACAATGGGACGAAGCAGATGAGAGAGCTGCAAAGCACAGACAACAAGGCTGCGCGCACAGCATCTCCTGCACAGACACAGGCACCTCCAGCCACTACGCGCCACGCCTGGCATCCTAGCTAGAGCTCTCCAGCACCTCCCGAGGCCCACTTCCTTCACCCCCAGCAGGAACAGGGTGGGAGTGGGAGGTGAGGCTTGTACTTCCAGGTACCAGAGAGGGTGGGAGTGAATGGGGCAGGGGAAGGACACTGGGCTCCCTCCTCCTCAAACGTCTCCCATCCTGCCTACCACCAGGCCAGCCTCCTCTGGAACTCTCTGCTCCCCTGCACAGTCGGCCACATCAAGAAGAGAGACCAAAGGACGGAACCAGAGAGAGAAAGAGATGGGGAGGGAGGGCAGGAGGGACTGGGAGTCACTAAAGAGACATTGCAGGC